CACAGCGATCTGAGAGACTTGAAAAAATTGAAAGCTTGAGTTACAGAACACAGGAAGGGGAAAATATTTTTCACAGCATCGTACATCAAACCGAACCTATTTACCTGAGCTGAATAGTCAAACAGCCACTGCTCCCGAGGCTTTTCCTCATAGGCTATTACTGCGTCACTGCTTATGTCACAATACCCAGAACTCAAATCTGGTGATATTAGAGTCGTAGTAACAGTGAATACTAGCTAGTTTCAGAGTAACATGGACACACATATTTATCAAAAGCAGACATCCATTTTTTATAATGAACAAGGGGTAACTGTACAAACTCTGTCACCTACAAGTAGACATGTATGTTACCTGTAAGCAAAGGTTACTTAGTTACTCACAGACTGTTATGTTGACCTCTTATCACCCACAGCCTTTTTTAGTCTCACTGACCACTAAAAATCACTTTAGACCTATTTAAAGGACTGCATCTAACTCTCAACCACAGCTAATTTAGAATCACAAATTAAATTAATTAATAATTAAATTAATCACAGTGAGAACATGGAAACTCCACACAGAAAGGCCCCATTTAAGGTTTAAAACAGGAAGCTCCGTGCTGAGTGGCGAGCCTAGCCACTGTACAACAAAGCCACGGACCAGGAACTGAGCTGCCTGCAGTTCTTTTGTCAGCAGTACCTCAAGAATAACTGCTAGAATTTTCTTTTACAAAAGTGAAGAAAATGTTAGTTTTGCTTCGGTAGTATTCGTTGGCTTCTTGCTGCTTGTGCTGCTCATGGAGGATTATGTCATAGTTATGATAGGTCTATCTAATATTGCAGGGTCTTTACCTTTCAATATAAAGGGTATTGAGGTGACTGTTGCTCTAAAATCGTACTATACAATTAAATCTGGATTAATTTATTAAATAAGTAATAGTATGAAAAAACAAATGAGATGGCACATTTGGTCAGTTTTTAATATGTGACAGATGACAAATGTGTATGCAAAAAATATTGTGTTGCATTAAAAAAAGTGCAGGTGATGCTGCTGATGCTACTTTGTCAGAATAGATTAGCAGCTGTAGACCAACTCTGATGGTAGTCGAGCAAATCCCTGCTGCAGCCAGCTGAATGTGTATAAGAGAGGATTTTGTCAGAGCCTTACAAAGCAAGCACTATATAAATCTATATATTAAAAAAAGATCAAAGCAGATCAGTTAGCCTCTGTGATACATTTTTGTACAACTTAAAAGCTGTAAAAACCCATCATCTTAACTTCTGCAGCACAAACTACCCCAAAGAGGAGCTGAAGAATGAATTTGCTTATGTGTGTAAGCTCAATTAAAATATTACCACATCTGCTTGGACCTGAATAAAACAATCCTGCAGCTAGTGTGATAATAATGTTAAAATGCTCTAAATGAAACTCCACAACATGTTGGGTTTTTTAAAAATTAGAATAAGCTGTAAACCTGGTCCATGGTGAAGCGGACTCCAGTAGCGCCCATTAACTGATGCCAATGTCTGGATCGTATGGCTGGATTCTGGAGCTCTGCCACAGCCCGGAGGGAGGTGAGGAGGTTCCTCACCCTGCTCTCCAACCCTGTGAAGGCCTCCCACGCTCTAACCTGCCACACACAAGGCCACATATTTAGGACAGAGGAAAGCAGCTTTAAACAGCAGTTCAGGATTTATTCTGAGTTGTACTTTTTTTACTTTGAGCAAGACATTGAAATCCTTAAATGCCTGATTTCACTCCATTCTTTATTGCTGCTTTATATTCCTGTGGGCCTAATGTACAAAT